GCACCGCTCTGCTAGGCTCCCTGAGCTGGGTCTACTTTTGCATCTACTTTTAGTCTCACTCTCTCCCACACACACCCCAAACCCAACCCCCCCACCCGTTCCCGACTCACTCCACCACACAGCTAATTTATCACTAACTTCGGTTTGTTGAATGTGTTTGGTTCTACATTTTGCATCTATATTATTAAGTGTCTTTGACAGGAACATACTCATCAGCAGAAGGTACTTTGTTAGTGTCCTATATAGTTACATATAGGATTATATTATACAAGTAGGATTATATTTCCTATATAGTTACATATAGGATTATATTATACATGTAGGATTATATTTCCTATATAGTTACATATAGGATTATATTATATCTAAAGATCTGACAAGCGGGTGGAACTTCAAACACCCCTTGTTTTGGCTCCCCATGAGCCAGTTTGGGTTTGTACCTTCATCAACTTTCAGATGTGATGAATATGTTTCAAGCTCAGACACTCATTGAGGAGCTAATTTTTCCTCTGGGATTTGAACCCTGCACCACAGATCAATGAAGCACCAACAGCCATGGGACAAACCCACTAGGCCGCCTGCCAGCTACAATTACAAGGGTTTTACTTCCCTAAGTTTCTCCAATTACCTGGGTGAAAGTGAAGAAATCATACAAAACCATGCTAAAGTTGGTGATGGGATTTGAACTTGTGATCGTCCTGCACCAAAGCCGAGTGACTTCACCACTGGACTAACTCAGCACTGATCCCACACTGTTTTAACTTCCCCCACACTGTTTTAACTTCCCCAAGTGAAGCATTTTACTTGGGTGAAGAAATCTTTCAAAAGTGTGCAAACTAAGGAATCCACTTTGTGTTACCAAAGCTTGCTGTGGGATTTGAACTTGTGCTTTTCCTGCACTGAAGTCAAGTGCCTTGACCACCAGACTAACTCATAGTTCATTCACATGATGTTTTAACTTCATCAACTTTTGTCAWTTACATGGGTGAAAGTGAAGAAATCTTTTTACTTGCTAAAGTATGTGGTATATTTATTCATTTTGGATGACTGTGTGTGGTATTTATTTTATCTTTGTATTGTTGTCTTTTTGTATTTAAGTGAAACCTTTTTTTTCTTTGCAGCGCTAAGGGAAGAGGCAAGGCTAAAGGCCGGCTGAGATGAGTTTCAGCTTGTTGAATCTTCTGCATTTTCACTGAAAGAAAAGTCGAAGCTTATTCTTTATGGAATAAGATTGTTTATGGAGCCACAGTTCACAGTAAACATAAATTAATGTTGACAACAGCATCAAGATATTTATCTTCTATGTATTTTACAGTCTTGTGTGGAAAGTGCACAAAGCTACCTTTAAATGAGACGCTGGACAACATCAATAACTGTAAATAAAACCTGCCTGTGAACAATAATCATCAAATTCAGTGCATTTCATGTTCTTATGTAGCAGCTAAGGGGACAAATGGAAATAAAAACAGTTTTTGTGTGCACCAGCATTGCTGTATTTAAATAATACCAAGTATGTTAAATAAATTCAGTCAGTGCTTCTAAGCTAACATGATACAAAACTTCAAGTTTAAACATGAAGTGGAGCATTTCTTCTCTAAATGGAGAAAACAGATGATGTTCTTCACCACATATGTGTTTCTCTAATTTCAGCGATCACCTGACTGGCTCGTTGTAGTGCCTGAGGGGGGGAAAAAATTGATTAGTAGCGTTCATCTGAGAAAACTTCAACTGTACAAGGAAGGAGTATTTTACCTGCAGCATGTCGGCAGCTTCTTTGCGCCGCTGGGCCATGTCCTCCGACTCTGTCAGCAGATCGTTGAGGAGGCCCGATTTGTAGAGCTGGCCAACAAGTTCGCTCTGCAGGCTGTCCTTCACGTGGTTGACCAGGAAGTGCATCACTGCCTTTGGCACGCTGTGGTGTAAAGAGAGAAAACAGGATGGCAGTTTAAGTGTTTTTGCTGTAAGCTAAAAACAATGGTTCTCAACCGCAGGCCTTGAGGAACACCACCCTGCATGTTTTTCTAGTTTGTCCCATTTGATTTGTGTGAATGATCCTGATTTAAACACTTCCAAATACAAACTTTTAGGTTCGCAGTAACATTTGCACCGGTAATAGGTGTTTCCTATAATGTCAAAATATTCAGTTGAACATTTCAGGGTATAATCAACATGACATTATTGGTGTTTCAGACTAACAACCAAAGCATTGAGAGATTTGAAGAAAAAGCCTAAAACTGCTAGTGACATCAGCAAGGTATCCACCTACTTTGAGACTTTAACAGCAAGTAGGACAGAAAAGCCTGAAAACTCAGCAAGTATTTGCAGCTTTTGCACAGATGCATTTGCAGTGTTGAAAGGTTTCTTTAATTCTGAATCAGCTGTTGGCTAAATGTATGCATGCAGCTGACAACACGATCATTCGTGCACCAATAGGTGACTATTTAACCACCAGCTCAYTCATACTCTGTTGGAACTTCCCCAAATTTAGCCAACTGATTCAAAATTAAAGAAACCTTTCAACACAGCAAACACCTAAGGTTGGCACTGGGATTTGAACCCTAAGCTTCCTGCACCACAGGCAAGTCACTTAATTAGTCAGCTAACTTCCAGCTCACCTAAACAGGTGTTACTCTCTCACTTAAACCAATCAGGACAACTTCTTAATTTGTGCAAATTTTTTTTAAAGATTTTAGCTGATGTTTCCCAAAATTTAAGTTTTCAATCCACCCTGAGCTACTCAAACAAACAAAAACCAGACTTAGTTTGACTCTTATGACTTAAGAAAATTAAAGTTTTATTCAAATGCGCTTTGTTACAAAGAAACATTTTCAGGAATTGAGTCATTTTTCATGTTTCAGTTTCCACTACTTTTATAAATAAAATTTAAAGTTTACTTTGTCCTGTTCTTAAACCAGAGGTGCCCAAACATTTTTCCTGAGGGCCAAAATGAAAATCGATCTGAGGGATGCGGGCCATAAAATACAAAAACGTGTGCGAATATAGATGTGTGCTTAAACCCTTTCAGGTCCTGGTCAACCAAACGGTTGACAATATTTTGAACTGATAAAAATTCAAAGAAGGGAGTGTTTATCCAAACTGAAACTGACTGAGCCATCTCTACCACTTGGTTGATGTATGTAAAGCTAAAAACATCCACCAGAAGGCACTGTGACAGTAAATGGTTAATTTGTCTTTCCCTCCTCCAACCAGGAAGTCAAGAACAAGGAAATTTAACGTAACATGACAGTTTTTGGAAAAACTTTTAAAGAAATTTATACTTTTTTACACATTTTGGTAATAAAGGCCTTAATAAACAATCTAATTTAAATGTCTCTTGTAGTT